GCTTGCCTCACATGTACAAGGATCTGGGTTCTAATTCCCAGCACCAAAAAAAAAAAAAAAAGACAAAAAAAACAGAAGTATATTTTATAAACCTCCAGCAGCAAGAGAATGGATTCCTTTACTGTACTTTTCTGTTAGAAGTAATATCATTTTTATGCAATAAATTTTTAAAAAGTATTTCTAGATACCTGTGTTATTTTCTATATTTGCCTTTGTTTCTTTAGTCTGGTTTTCCATATATGTAACTACTGGTCAAGGAATATGGACTTTTTTTTCCTCTTTTCTTTGAATATGAACTTTTTAATGGCTATTGATACCTATTAGAATCAAATTCCTCTCCCTGGCTTATGACTCAGTAGCACATTTCTTAGATGTCTTACCTGTGAAATAGAGATTGTACTAAGAACTTAAAATTAGACCCATATTCAGAAAGATGTACATTTTTCTGAAAGTGGAAAAGGTATTAAGTAGTTTTTTTCTGAAACAAATAGTCTACAATGTTTTTTTTTTTTTTTGTACCAGGGAATGAACTCTGGGTACTCCACCACTGAGCCATGTCCTCAGCCCTATTTTGTATTTTATTAGAGACAGGGTCTCACTGAGTTGCTTAAGCATCTCAGTTTTGCTGAGGCTGGCTTTGAACTCGTGATTCTCCTGTCTCAGCCTCCTGAGCTGCTGGGATTACAGGCCTCTTCCACTGTGCCCGGCTCTACAATAATAGTTTTTTAGTAATGTTTCTTGGCTTGGGGTCAAAGGTAGGACTTTTACTCTTTGATCTTGGAATTTAACATATGTCTGCAATCTTCTGTGAAGTTGATGTGCCTACTCAGCAGATAATTTGAGGTTTTTGCAGATAAGGCAGTTAGAGCAATATTTCTGTTAGATTTTCCTAAAAAAAATTCATTCTAATAGATTTTATTTTTTAAAATAACTTACAGGATAGTTAAAACATAACCTTATTATACAGAATGAATTAAAAAATTTTAAGGTGTCTTTGTAATTGTAACTTATATTAAGCTTTAGTAAATTTATTGATTCTTTATTTTAGTTAAAAGGTTACTGAATACATTGAGTTTCAATACATTGTTGAGACTTAGAATACATTGATCAGTCTTGGAGATGTACATTAGAAAAGCATAGGGCTAGTGAGGTATGGTGGTGCATGCCTGTAATCTCAGTGACTGAAGGCTGACGCAGAAGGATTGCAAATTCAAGGTCAGCTTCAGTAATTTAGCCAGACCCTATTCTCAGATTAAAACATAAAAAAGTGTGAAGATGTAGCTCAGAGAAAATAGCATTGCCATTTTCTGCCATTCTTTCTTATTTTTCTGTATCCTCTTCTTGTGTATTAGATGTTCTTATCTAGGATCTGAACTTTTCGAGTAAAGGCGGAAATGTGAATTTTCCCCCCTTTCTCTCACTGGTCAAATGTGCTATTCTTCTGTGAAGTTAAGTCTACCTATACATCTTCATTTTAAGGTGTTTATAGAATACTAAGTTTAGCATTGCGTGTATAATATTTTTTGAAAATGTAGCTGCTTTCTTGTGCTTTTTGTTTATAAATGAATTTTTTAAAAAGTGTTTATAAGACGTATGTTTATGATGTTTTGATATGTACAGTGTGAAATGATGACTGCCATCAAGCTAATTAATATCTGTTTTATCACACAATTATTTTTTGTTTTTATGTGTGTGGTAAGAACCTTAAGATCTACTCTCAACAAATTCAAGTATATAATATGCATACAAGACTTCAGAATTTAGCAATTGGATTTACTAAAGTGATGTGTTCATAATGTGTTCTCTAAAATGGAACTTTTTTTGATATTGGGGGTTGAACCCAGGGGTGCTCTATCACTGAGCTACATCTAGATTGCTTATTGCATAGCCATTGCTGAGGCTGGCTTTGAAATCCCGTTCCTCTTGCCTCAGCCTCCTAAATCACTGGGATTACTGGCGTGCGCCACCACACCTGGCCATCCCTAGCACTTTTAAAAAATATTTTTTAGTTGTAGATGAACATAATATCTTTATTTATTTATTTATTTATTTTTATGTGGTGCTGAGGATCAAACCCAGTGCCTCATCTGTGCGAGGCAAGCGCTCTACCACTGAGCTACAATCCCAGCCCCCCCAGTGCTTTTTAAACATTTTTTATTTGAGGCAGTTCCTTCCTAAGTTGCTAAGGGTCTCATTGCTGATGAGGACCTCAAACTGGCGATTCTCCTGCCTCAGCTTCGTGTTGCTAGGATTACATATAAGTGTATGTTACCGTATGCCTGTAACATTTTTTAGTTTAGAAGAATCTTGACTTTCTTTTAAATTGTATGTTTTTTGTTGTTACTTTTTGCCATGGATGTGGGACCCAGGGCATCATCATGCCAGGCAAGTGCTCTACCACTCAGCCGCATCCCAGTCCTACATTGTATTTTAAAAATATATGTAACCCATCACCTATGACCTTTGTCCATAATTTTTAGAATTCTGTGTTTTGTAAAATTGACACATTTTTCTTTTTCTTTTTTAAAAAACATTTATTTATTTATTTTTAGGTGTAGATGGACACAACACAATATTGAACCCAGGTCCCGCCCGTGCTAGGCGAGCGCTCTACCACAAAGCCACAATCCCAGCCCTCTTTTTTTTTTTTAAACATTTATTTTTTAGTTGTAGGTGGACATAATACCTTTATTTTATTTTTATGTGGTGCTGGGATCGAACTGAGTGCCTCACACATGTTAGGAAAGTGCTCAACCACTGAGCCACAACCCTAGCCCCAACACATTTTTCATTATAATTAAGTGCATAGATGCAACCTTTCCCATGTCAATATCGGCAATGAAAAAAATTTTCTTGTTTTATCCAAATATGAACTTTAAAAACTAGATAGAAGAAGTAAAGGTGCTGGTGCTTCAGTTTTCTTTTTTCTTTTTTTTACTGATTTCAAAATTTTTGGAAATGTAATTGATATTTTTGAGCTGAAACTTTTCCCATTCTAGTTGATAGTGGAGGTCTAAGGAATTATGGAACAAGAGTAGATAGAATAATATTTTATAGGAATATGATCACTTTGGTTTTTTTTTGTTATCATCCCAAGTATTTTCATTCTATTTTTATAACCCTATGAAGCCACATTGAATATATGTTACTTAAATATAAGCATTCATGGGGGAATATAGACTATATATATTTGTTTGTTTTGGTACCAGGAATTGAACCCAAGGATGTTTAACCACTGAGCTGTATCCCCAGACCTTTTTATTTTTTATTGTTAGATGGAATCTTTTTTTAAATATATATATATATATATGTATATATATATTTTTTTAGTTGTAGATGGACACAATATCTTTATTTATTTTTATGTGGTGCTAAGGATTGAACTCAGTGCCTCACGCTTATGAGGCAAGCGCTCTATAACTGAGCCCCAGCCTCAGCCCCTAGATGGTATCTTTTTTTTTTTTTTTTTTTTTTTTTAATATTTATTTTATTTTAGTTTTCAGCGGACACAACATCTTTGTTGGTATGTGATGTTGAGGATCGAACATGGGCCGCATGCATGCCAGGCGAGCACGCTACCACTTGAGCCACATCCCCAGCCCCCTAGATGGTATCTTGATAGGTTGCCTACAGCCTCACTAAATTGCTGAGGTTGGCTTTGAACCTGAAAATCCTTGCCAAAGCCTCTCAAGCCACTGGGATTACAGGCCTGTGCCACCATGCCTGGCTGGAATCTAGACTATTAAACTAAGTTAAACTTTTATTTTTCTATGATGGAGACAAAACATTAAGTCTGAACAGTGGGTATACAGGAATTGACAAACTAGGATCATTTGGTACCTGGCATAAGAGATGATTTTGAGTGTCAAAGTTGGATTCCTGCTGACTAGAAAAAACATGAGGCAGATAAAGTTTGTCTCTGCTGCCCTTTTGCCACTTCTAATGACTCTAGATTTTTTTTTCTTTGCTTATAGCTGCTAAAGCATTTACCAATAATATTTAAGGTGTCATCCATCTCATGTTCTCAGTTTTTTTTTTTTAAATGACTGTGGGAAATGTGTCCATCTTTTTATTTATTTATTTATTTGTTTATTTTGTACGGGCTTGAACTCAGAGTCACTGGACCACTGAACCACATCCCCAGCCCTCTTTGTATTTTATTAGAGATAGGGTCTCACTGAGTTGTTTAGTGCCTTGCTGAATTGCTGAGGCTGGCTTTGAACTCGTGATCCTCTGCCCCCACCTCCCTAGTTGCTGGGATTACAGCGGTATGTTCTCAGTTTTTAAAAAAGTCTTTAAGGGATGGGGTTGTGGCTTGGTGGTAGAGTGTGTGCCTCACATGTGTGAGGCAATGGTTTTAGTTTTCAGCACCACATATAAATAAATGAATAAAATAAAGTTCATCAACAAATATATAAAGTCTTTAAGATACCTATTGAAAAAATTAGCAGTGGTGTTGATTGCTTTTTCTTTTTCTTTGAGATGGGGGAAGATCTCACTATGCTGCCAGTCTGGTTCAAACTTGAAATCTTTGTGCCTCAAACTGAGCAATAGCTGAAAGTAAACGTGTGTCCACCCATGCCCAGCCATTTTTGGATACTGGTGCTTGAGGAGTGGAGAAATCTAGCCCATCACTCCCAGTTTTTTCCTTGCTGGCCATTTGGAACAGGTAGTTCCTGAGGGTATTATTTATTATTGCCTAGGAGACAAGCAGCAACTTTTAAGTGTCAGGTGCCACCCTTTTCACTGAGAGAGCAAATAAATGTAGACCTGGTATAAGATTCTTGGTGTAATTAGAAGCTCAAAGATTAAGATAAAGTAGTTATTTTGTAGAAATAAAGAAAATCTCATTTGCAGTATTWGTATGTTATTTATTATGATAGTTGCCTTTGTTGGCAGTCACTTAAACTTTTGATCTTTGGTTTTCCAAAATGGGTTTATTTTATTAATGATACCACTGTTTGAAAACAATGTTTTCCATTTTTTTCTTTTTCTAATAGATGTGATGCTGACCCATCAGCCTTAGCCAACTATGTTGTAGCACTGGTCAAGAAGGACAAACCTGAGAAAGAACTGAAAGCCTTTTGTGCTGATCAACTTGATGTCTTTTTACAAAAAGGTAATTATTATGGGCCTTCAACCAAGTATTTATATAAAGATTTTGAATTATTTATTTATTAAAAATATTTATTTTTTAGTTGTAGTTGGACACAATACCTTTATTTTACTTACGTATTTTTATGTGGTGCTGAGGATCAAACCCAGGGTCTCGAAAGTGCGAGGCAAGTGCTCAAATGCTGAGCCACAACCCTAGCACCAAGATTTTGAATTTAAATCTTGTTGAATTTCTTCTCTTTCCTCAATAAGGCAGTGAATGCTGTAATGCTTTTTACGTAATTGGGACCTTTACAGATTTTGGCAGATCCTGGTTGAGGGATAACAGTTTAAAGATTATGCTGGGCATCGTTTCACATTCCTGTAATCCAAGCAACTGGGGAAGCTGAGGCAGGAGGATTTAGAGTTCAAAACCAGCCTCAGCCAATTTAACGAGGCCCTAAGCAACTGAGTGAGACTCTCTCTAAATAAAGTATTAAAAAAGGGCTGGAGATGTGGCTCAGAGGTTAAGTACCCCTGAGTTTAATCCCTGGCACTTCAAAAACCAAAACACAAAACTCAAAAAACAGTCTAAGGGTATTGAAACTGCTTATCTTACTATTAAAAAATGAGCCCATCAGTATTTTTTCTTTCTTGGCTAGGGCTTTTTTTTTTTTTTTTTTAAGAGCCTTATATTTGTACATAGTTGGGTTCATCTTGACAAACTCATTCATGCATAGAAATCGATTTTAGTTCATGATTCCCTTCTTTTTCTTTCCCGTCTTCCCTCCCTCTCCCACTCTCCTTTCTCTACTCCACTAGACTTCCTTTCACTTGGGGCTTCTTGAAGAGATGGGTGTGATCCTCTTCTCTTTTACCAAAGTCCTTTCCATGATCTACAGAGTTTCCATGAGGTTTCCCCTGTTGTGTCTCTGACATTTTCTGCCACTCCCCCTCACTTGTTCCACTGACCAGTTTACTGTTTATTGAAAATGGCAAAGTTGCCTGTAATCCCAGTGGCTAGGGAGGCTGAGGCAGGAGGATCGCAAGTTCAAAGCCAGCCTCAGCAATGGTGAGGCAACTCAGTGAGACCCTGTCTCTAAATAAAATACAAAATAGGGCTAGGGATGTGGCTCAGTGGTTGAGTGCCCCGGAATTCAATCCCCAGTACCCCCCGCAAAAAAAGAGAGAAAATGACAAACTTGTCCAACAGTTCAGAGCCTTTGAAATTATTTTACACTTGACTGAAACATGAATTGCTCCCTTATTTCTTTCTGGTCCATTTTCAAATATCGTTTCTGAACAGTTTCCCCTGATTGCCCTTTATACAACACATAACATTCCATGCTCCCCAGTCATTTCTTTCAACCTTGAGTACTTATCACTCTATGTCATGATTATTTTCCTGTTTATCTCTCTCCTCCCACCTTCTTTGTCTTTTCTTTTGTTCAAAGTGGAGACTTGATGTGCTGGGGTTGTGGCTCAGTGGTAGAGTGCTTGCCTAGCATGTGTGAAGCATTGGGTTTRATTCTCAGCACCACATATAAATAAATTAAATAAAGGTCCATTGACAACTAAAAAAATATATATATAAAAAAGTGGAGACTTGAAACCTACAGTGGTTGGCACATAAATGCTTGATAAGTATTATTATTAGGTCAGTAGTACTATGGATAACACTTATCAGTTGATCTAGGTTTTTTTTTTTCTTTTTTTACACAATACCTTTATTTTATTTATTTTTATGTGGTGCGGATGATCGAACCCAGGGCCTCCACATGTTAGGCAAGCACTCTACTGCTGAGCCACAGCCCCAGCCACTGTTGATCTAGATTGATGAGAAAATATCCTTTAACTCAAATATCAGCTGGTGAAGAGAAGATGGCTTCTCATTTTAATACATAGGATTACATCTTTTTTTCAAGCATTTTAAGACTTTTTTGTTTGAAAAAGAAAACATACATGCAGAAATTCCTCTTTAGCATAGATGAGTGTTCTTTTTTTTTTAAATGTGTTAATTTACATTGAAGATGACTCATGTGAAATGTAGAGCCAAAAAGAAAAAAAGTAAAATATAGTAAAGATATTTGGAGTATGAGGCAAATGAATGTTTAGACATTTAAGAACTCACTGTTATAAAAAGCTGCAAAAAAACTGGAAATGAAGTTCAAGATTCATCTTGAACACAAACAATGTATGAGTGTACCTTTTCCCCCACATCCTCTCTAACACTATTATTTGTAATCTTGATAATTGCCATTCTGACTGATATAAATGAAATCTCAACTTGGTTTTGATTTGCATTTCCTTAATTGCTGGAGGTAGTGAACATTTTTTTTCTTTTTCTTTTTTTTTTTTTTTATGAATGAGAATTTTTAATATTTATTTTTTAGGTGTAGTTGGAAATAATACCTTTATTTATTTATTTTTATGTGGTGCTGAGGATTGAACCCAGGGCCTTACATGTGCTAGGCAAGCACTCTACTGCTGAGCCACAACCCCGGCCCCTTAAACATTTTTTTCGTATATTTATTGGTCATTTGTGTTTCTTTCAAAAAGTATCTGTTTAGTTTTATGCACATTTATTTATTGGGGTACTTGTTTTTTGGGGATTACATTTTTTGAGTTCTTTTTATTGTTGGTGGGACTGCAAATTAGTGCAACCACTCTGGAAAGCAGTATGGAGATTCCTTAAAAATCTAGGAATGGGGGCTGGGGATGTGGCTCAAATGGTAGCGCGTTCGCCTGGCATGCGTGCAGCCCGGGTTCAAACCTCAGCACCACATACAAACAAAGATGTTGTGTCCGCCGAAAACCAAAAAAATAAATATTAAAAAAAAAAATTCTCTCTCTTAAAAAAAAAAAAAATCTAGGAATGGAACCACCATATGACCCAGCTATATCCCACTTCTTATTATATGTTCAAAAGTTCTAAGATCCGCATACTGTAGAGATATATTCACATCAATGTTTATAGTAGCATAATTCACAATAGTTAAGCCATGGACTGGGATTGTGGCTTAGTGGTAGAGTGCTTGCCTAGCATGTATGAGGCTCTGGGTTCGATTCTCAGCACTACATATAAATAAACAAAAAATAAAGGTCCATTGAGAACTAAAAAAATATTTTAAAAAATAGTCAAGCTATTAAATCAAACTAGGTGATCTTCACCAGATGAATGGGTAAAGAAAATGTGGTATATATCATTGTGTGTATCCACAAGACAGTAGTTAAAAAAACTATAATATCAAAAAGATCAGTAGAGTACAGGGAAGGGAAAGGGGGAAAAGAGGAAGTACTAGGGACTGAATTAGGGCAAATTATATTCTATGTTTTTATAATTATGCAAAAAAGAATCATGTTATATATAATTAAAAAGAACCAATAAAAATATATTGCAAAAAATAAATAAGCATTTATCAAAAAAAGCTACAAAAGTTTTTAGTAATTCTTTAAACTTTAAAAATAATACACATGAGGAAGAACTCTAAATTTTATTTATTTATTTAATTAGTTGTAGGTGGACACAATATCTTTATTTATTTTTATGTGGTGCTRAGGATTGAACCCAGTGCCTCACATTGGTAGGCAGGTACTCTACCACTGAGTCACAAACCCAGCCTTATAAAAATTTATTTATTTTTAAGTATTTATTTTTTAGTTGTAGTTGGACACAATACCTGTATTTCATTTATTCATTTTTATGTGGTGATAAGGATTGAACCCAGGGCCCTGCACGTGTGAGGTGAGCGCTCTAGTGCTGAGCCACAATCGCCAGCTCCCTAATAAAATTTATTTTAAAAAGAAGAGAAGAAACAGCCAGAAATTTACCACCAGAGACGAAATCACTGTTGTGTATAGCTTTCTAGATTGGCATTGTCTAGGAGAACTTTGTGCAACTGTAGATAATGATTTATATCTGTATTTTCCAATTTAGTACCCTTTAGCTATTTGTGGCTATTGAGTGTTTGAAATGGGTTTATATGGTTGAGAAACTGATTTTTAAATTTAATTTTAATTAATTTAAACCCAAATCTAAACAGTCACATGTAGTTAAGTAGTTGCCACATTCAACTATTGGATAGTGCACCTCTAGACTTTAATTGAGATTATATATTAAAACCAGGTGTGGGGGCTGGGGATGTGGCTCAAGCGGTAGCGCGCTTGCCTGGCATGCGTGCGTGCGGCTTGGGTTCGATCCTCAGCACCACATACAAACAAAGATGTTGTGTCCGCCGAAAACTAAAAAAAAAAAAAAAAGTAAATGTTAAAAAAAATAGTAGATAAAACCAGGTGTGATGGTGCACTCCTAAGATTCTAGGGATTTGGAAGACTGAGGCAGGAGGATCACACATTTGAGATCAGCCCCAGCAACTTAGGGAGACCTTGTCACAAAATAAAAATAAAAAGACTGGGGATATAACTCAGTGGTAAAATGCCTGTGGATTCAATCCCCAGTATCTCCTCCCCAAAGAAGATATATCATGAGAATACTCTTGACTATTGTACATGCATCCCTATACCACCTATACTACATAATTTTGCCAGTTCTTACATCTTTGAGTTTTTTTATGTAGGTAAACATAAAAATATTGTAATGAGCTGGGCAGGGTGGCCCATACCTGTAATCCCAGCTGCTTGAAAGCTAAAGAAGGAGGATAAGGGTCTGGGGATGTGGCTCAAGTGGTAGCACGCTCTCCTGGCATGCGTGTGTCCCGGCCCGGGTTCGATCCTCAGCACCACATACAAACAAAGATGTTGTGTCCGCCAAAAACTAAAAAATAGATATAAAAAAAATTAAAAAAAAAAAAAAGAGGAGGAGGATAAGAAAGTTTGAGGCCAGAGCTCAGTGTACAAGGCCCTGGGTGCATTCTACATTGCTGGTATGGTATAGGGGGAGGGAAAGAAGAAAGAAAAAAAAATCTTATGTCTTTGAGGCTTGGTATTATCAGTACTCATTCTATTGTATGATTGTCCCACAATTTATTTTACTAGTCTCTTTTGGAAATTTGGAGTTGTTTCCAGTCTTTTGCTGTTTCATACTCCAAGAAATATTCTTCCATGGATATGGTTTGCATACATTTAGTTATGTCAGAGGGACTAAAAAAACCAGATGTGAGCTGGTTGTGATGTTGCACACCTGTAATCCCAGCTATTCTGGAGGCTGAGTTATGCAGATCTCAAGTTCAAGGCCAGCCTGGGAAAATTAGTAAGACTCTCAAAATAAAAAATAAAAAGGACTGGGGATGGAGCTCAATGGTAGAGCACCCGGGGATCATTCCCCTATATTTTTGGGAAAAAGAAACAAAATAAAACCTGGAAGTGGGATTCTTTGCTTTAAGTTAGGTTGTGTTTTTAGTGCCATCAGCAGTGTATGAAATTGTTTCTTTTCCAAAACCTTGTTAACAATGTTTAAATTTTTTTTTGTTTGTGTAACACTTTAATATTATTTCTTCTCAGAAACTTCAGGTTTTGTGGACAAATTATTTGAAAGTCTCTATACTAAGAACTACCTTCCACCTTTGGAACCAGTTAAACCTGAACCAAAACCACTAGTCCAAGAAAAGGAAGAAATTAAAGAAGAGGTAATGTAAAATTATTCTTTTGCTTTGGGGAACTTCTCAAAGTATTCTTAGTTGTAATTTGAGCTTTTTAGAAGTAATTATCTATTGATTGATGTTTTTGTGTTTGGGGCATGGTGCAGATACTTAGGGTTTCTTGAAAATTGAAAAAAATTCAGAGAACTTATTTAGGGCTCAAAGTCATACTTGTAGTGAGGAATTCAGAGAAATCTTAAATCGAGTGACTTCTAGAAAAAAAAATTTCATCAAATATGGATGTTTCGCTGAAAATAAATGAAACCTGGAAAGAAATCATTAGGTAAAGCTTTTCATATATGTAAAGAAGACATTTTTTTAAACCACATAGTTGTTTTAAATGGTTAATTTAATTATAAACAACATTGTCAATATTAGCAAAGCAAAAATGGCTTCACAATATTGACATATAAAGACTGATAATAGATGGATACCTAATTTTTTAAACCAAGATGGAAGTTTTAGAGTTCATTTCAATTCCTTTCATATATAGATAACATAGCATATGAGAAGAATGTGAATTCTTTAATGAGGCTGCATGAATTACAAAAGCAGTTCTACAAGTTACTTCTGTCTCACTTTTTTAATTTATATGTGAAAGCAGAATGCATTACAATTCTTATTACACAGAGCACAATTTTTCATATCTCTGGTTGTATACAAAGTATATTTACACCAATTCATGTCTTCATACATGTACTTTGGATAATAATGATCATCACATTCCAGCATCGTTTCTAACCCCATGCTCCTCCCCCTTCCCTCCAGCCCCTCTGCCCTATCTAAAGTTTGTCTATTCCTCCCATGCTGCTTCTCTCCCTATCCCACTATGAATCAGCCTCCTTGTATCAAAGAAAACATTTGAAACTTGGTTATTTGGGATTGACTAACTTCACTTAGCATTATCTTCTCTAACTTGATCCATTTACCTGCAAATGCCATGATTTTATTCTCTTTTATTGCTGAGTAATATTCCATTGTGTATATATGTCACATTTTTTTTTTATCCATTCATCTATTGAAGGGCATCTAGGTTGGTTCCACAGTTTAGCTATTGTGTATTGTACTGCTATAAACATTGATGTGGCTGTGTCTCTATAGTATGCTGTTTTTAAGTCCTTTTGGTATAGTTCAAGGAAAGGGATAGCTGGGTCAAATGGTGGTTCCATTCCCAATTTTCCAAAAAAAATTCCATCCTACTTTCCATATTGACTGCAGCAGTTTGCAGTCCCACCAGCAGTATATGAGTGTACCTTTTTCCCCACATCCTTGCCAACACTTATTGTTGTTTGTCTTCATAATACCTGCCATTCTGACTGGAGTAAGATGAAATCTTAGAGTGGTTTTGATTTGCATTTCTCTAATTGCTAGCGATGATGAACATTTTTTCATATATTTGTTGATTGTATGTCATCATCTGAGTAGTGTCTGTTCAGGTCCTTGGCCCATTTATTGATTGGGTTATTTGTATTTTTGGTTTTTAGCTTTTTGAGTTCTTTATATACCCTAGAGATTAGTGCTCTATCTGTTGTGTGAGGCGTAAAGATTTGCTCCCAAGATGTAGGCTTTCTATTCACCTCACAGATTGTTTCTTTTGCTGAGAAGAAACTTTTTAGTTTGAGTCCATCCCATT